AGAATACTTATTGGACGGCGAAACTTTTCCATTATTCTCCGTTAGAATAAAAAGGGGATTAATAAACGGCTTAGGTTCAATTTTCAAAGCAATGACAGGAAACCTGGATGCTTCAGATGGTGAAAAATTCGAGTCTCTAATAAGCGATTTGCAGCATAATCAAAACAAGTTATCAGAAGCTATCAATAGTCAGAATACCTTATCTGTCGAACTTATCGATAATTTCAATAAAACTGTAAGTCAGATTACTCATAACCAAAAGCTATTGGAAGCTAAAATCAATCAGGTTTCAACAGCTATGATTAACACACAAGCCTACATAGAAAATGGCATTTTCTTGAGAGATACAATCTCAGAGATCATGAATATCTATCATATCATAATTTCAGTGCTCCAGGATATAGAAAACTCACTTACTTTTGCAAAATTGGGAATTATGCACCCCAGCGTATTCAAACCAAAACATTTACTTCAAGCACTAAATTCAGTGGTATTAAAACTATCCACAAAGCAACTCCCTTTAGAAGTTACTTTGGATAATATTCCAATTTTTTAAAAGCTCATTAAAATCAGCTGTTATACAGTTGATAGAAAAATAACATACATTCTTCAAACTCCAATTGTTCATACATTCCGATTTGATTATTAGCACTTATATTCAATTCCGACCTTTCATAAGGGTCTGTTCAAAGTAGTCATCCATTCTGGAAAATATCTTGTAAAGAATGAGTTGTACTTCGTTTTTGCGGGAGACGCATGCGCGGAAACAGTACGTTTGCAAGGAACTGGATTTAAGAAGAATCAATGAATCCAATCCCTGTGAAGATCAACTCCTGGAACAAAAAACTCCCACTACCTGCTGAGAAGTAGAAGCCGTAATCACAGAGCCAGTAATGAAGAAACTGCACGATTTCGGACAATGGATCTTGCTTATACCCAATGAAACCACCATTACATTAAGCTGTCAAGAAGGCCAAGAAACAGTCAAAGTTTTGGGATCCTACTTAGCCGAAATTCCAATCGGTTGTACACTGGAACTAAATCAAGACCTGATCGCCAATCAAGAACCTATATCGATTGGAAGTCAGCCAATTATTTTTCCAAATATCGATTCCAATACTTCAATTGCTACCAAGCCGAATGACTTCAGCCTTCATCTGGACCAAATAGAATTTGATGAAGTCCACAAAGTAAAAGAAGATTAATAGAAAATCGTGTTGACATCCATTCACACAAGGTGTCGCACATTCCCAGTTCTCGGACAATCCTGTTGTATGGAGTACTGCTGCTGCTACTTTGCTGTTTTGTCTACATTCCGAAGATTTTTACTAAGCCGAAGAAACCACAAAGAACCCCTATTGAATAAGTTGATCTTTCCAATGTGCAACTTCCTCGTTAACCCTCGAAGTTGCATCTACAAGGGGAGGCAAAATAGTACAGAAGACTTACCCCTACCACTAAAGAAGAGGATCGAGTTTCCCTGGATCAGCACTTTGCCTTATCCAGTCGTATTTTATTGTATTCACTGTTAGTTAGTCTGTTGTTAGCGCTCATACTATATACATCAATAGAATTGTATTTTGATGATCGAAAATAAATCAATTTAAAAAGCAAGTAGACTGACTCGGTCAGATAATTCGCGTTTACGCTTGATCAGATCCAAGTGCAGGACGGAATTAGGTTTTGTTTAGGTTTGACTCATTTGGCGGAGCCTAACATCTCGGTAACGTTAAGACTTTGGCGGATATGTTACTAGAAAAAATTGCTTGTTGTTTCAAGATCTACAGGGTGTCCCAGAAGTCGACGTCAAGCCGAAACTGGGTGATAGGCAAAGTCATAACAGCTAAGAGAAAAATATTTAAAAAAATTTTATGTATGTGTTTTGAAAATTATAGGTCTTTGAAAAAAATATAGAAATTTCACACCCTACGGCAGTCTGTCAACTCCTGTTACTACAAATATTAACTTTTTTTGGATTTTATTTTTACAATGTAATGATGAATTTTGCATCTTCAAACTGGTGTCTCAACCTTACTGCCAACTTTTCTCGTTCAGGAAAAATTGCCACTTATTTCCCAACCAAGTATTCCAAAGTAAAACTTTGCTCAACTTTAACTGGCTGTACTGGAAAAAATGTACTACGAGGGTTTGGCAAGTAACCTTAAAAGTTGGCGCATTTAATAAGGATTCCAAAATGGTATAACACTTAGAAGATTACTCGTTAACTTATGCACAATTTTTATTTGAAGAAAAACTGATGAAAATTTTTCAAAATTTCATAACTAAACAGCGATTATGAAAACACACAAGGACCCGCAATACACGCTCGACATCTTCTTAAAAAAGATCGGGTTATTAAACGAGCGAATCCACGGTTATTAACAAACTCAGCTGCTTCCAATAGTCTTTGCCGTAGATCAGCTACATTTTGAATCGGCGTGAAATACACTTTTCCTTTTACAGTTCTCCAGTAAAAAAATCTAACGTATTCAAATCTGGTGACCGGGCTGGCCACGGTATTGTACCAGACCGCCCTATCCATCTGCCTGGAAAGTTTTGATCAAGATACTCTCTCACTGAGAGTGCATAGTGCGCTGGGCAGCCATCATGCTGAAACCATATGTCCCTGTAAATACTCAGTGGCACGTCCTCCAATAAATTTTCTAAATGATTTTGCGAAAAACCTAAATAAACCTCAGCAGTCAAAGTCTCGGGGAACTCAAACGGAGCGATTACTTTACCATTTAAAATTCCTGTCCAATGGTTTATTTTGAAGCGATATTGAGATTTATCTTCTCTCATCAAATGTGGGTTTGCTACGTGCCACTCGTGTAAGTTATGCAAGTTCATGTACCCATTTTTCTTAAATGTGGTCTTATCTGACCATACAATTTTTTCAAAGAACCGTGGATCTTCCCTGTGTCTTTCTAACATTGTGCGACAAAAAGCAACTCGGGGCTCATAATCCCGGGGCAGAAGAGCTTGAACACGCTGTACGTGGTATGGATGGAGCACGTTTTTTTGCAAGATTCTATGGGCTGTACTTTTGGGCACAACTGTTTTTATTTCTACTGCACGCACTGAAGTACTCGGGTCTTCTTCGACAGCTCCTAGCACCACGTCTTCGTAAGGAAGGAAAGATCTTCCCTCACCGTGTGATTGGTTTTGTAGTTGGCCCTCTGAGAACAGTAAGCGGTGCACATTTGTGAACACTCGACGATCTGGATGACGAGCTGCATTCGGGTACTTCTCACAGTAAAGTCTCGCTGCAGCACTAGCGTTGCATCTGCATTCCCCATAAATGAGGTGCATGTTAGCATATTCTTGTACGGTGTACACGGACATAGCGGCACTACACAATCACACTATCAAAGATAGTCTAAGGAAAGCAAATGTTGTTTTGAAGAGCAATTAAACAGTCCAAATCCAAATCACAAGCGATCAACAGTCCAGTTCATGAATCCAAAATTATTAACAATACGAAATCAACAAGCACAAACATGTAAAGATGCGCAATAAACGAAGGAGTACTGATCGGTGTCAAAGTGTGCAATAGCAAGTAAGTGATGTGCTTCATCCATACCACATACAGCGTGTTCAACTTCTCCTGCCCCGGGATTATGAGCCCCAAGTTGCTTTTTGTCACACAATGTTAGAAAGACACAGGAAAGATCCACATTTCTTTGAAAAAATTGTATGGTCGGATGAGACCACATTTAAGAAAGATGGGTACATGAACCTGCATAATTTACACGAGTGGCACGTAGCAAACCCACATTTGATGAGAGAAGATAAATCTCAATATCGCTTCAAGATAAACCATTGGACAGGAACTTTAAATGGTAAGATAATCGGTCCGTTTGAGTTCCGAGAGACTTTGACTACTGAAGTTTATTTGGATTTTTTGAAAAATCATGTACAAAATTTATTGGTGGACGTGCCACTGAGTATTTACAGGGACATGTGGTTTCAGCATGATGGCTGCCCAGCGCACTATGCACTCTCAGTGAGAGAGTATCTCGATCAAAACTTTCCAGGCAGATGGATAAGGCGGTCTGGTACAATACCGTGGCCAGCCCGATCACCTGACTTCAATCCTTTATATTTTTTTACTGGGAACTGTAAAAGAAAAAGTGTATTTCAAGCCGATTCAAAATGTAGCTGAGCTACGGCAAAGACTATTGGAAGCAGCTGAGTTTGTTAATAACCGTGGATTCGCTCGTTTAATAACCCGATCTTTTTTAAGAAGATGTCGAGCGTGTATTGCGGCTGAAGGAAAACAGTTTGAGCATTTGCTGTAAAGGTAAATCATCATCAGCAGCATTTTGACGCCCACTGTTGTGCAAACAGTTATCCTTAAGGGTCCGTATGCGTTTTCATAATCGCTGTTTAATTAGGAAATTTTGAAAAATTTTCATCAGTTTTTTTTCAAATAAAAATTGTGCATAAGTTAACGAGTAATCTTCTAAGTGTTATACCATTTTGGAATCTTTATTAAATGCGCCAACTTTTAAGGTTACTTGCCAAACTCTCGTAGTACATTTTTTCCAGTACAGCCAGTTAAAGTTGAGCAAAGTTTTACTTTGGAATACTTGTTTGGGAAATAAGTGGCAATTTTCCCTGAATGAGAAGAGCTGGCAGTAAGGTTGAAACACCAGTTTGAAGATGCATTATTCATCATTAAATTGTAAAAATAAAATCCAAAAAAAGTTAATATTTGTAGTAACAGGAGTTGACAGACTGCCGTAGGGTGTGAAATTTCTATATCTTTTTCAAGGACCTATAATTTTCAAAATACATACATAAAATTTTTTTAAATATTTTTCTGATAGCTGTTATGACTTTGCCTATCATCCGGTTTCGGCTTGACGTCGACTTCTGGGACACCCTGTATACGCAGCATAAAGGAAAGTCCCAACTTGTCATCTTTGGACGCTTGACTAAAATTCGAATCAGCCAGCCGTCTCACAACATTTTGTAAAATATGAACATATACATACCTTGACTTCCCCCTGTAACGACAGCAGTTTTCCCCGCCAGACATACAGGACAGGAACAATGGAAATTGTAAATAAGGGCATATAGCTTCATGAGTCCGACAACAGCTACACATCCTAAAATAAGTAGGATAAAAAGAAGAATACCCCATGGTATAGGCGCCGTTGACATTTTCAATTTGGAGTCACACCGAAAGTATAAACGAAATATTTGCCTAATGAGCACAGCAGTCTTTAAATAAAAGCAATAATATTCAAATAATACGTTTCCAGAGGTGGCAGCAAGAAACTTTTGAATAAGGATCAAATTAATTTACAAGTAAGCTTCTCGAAGCTGCTGAACAGTGTATTGATGATATGAAGCAGTGCACCAATCCGTCACAGAACATCTTTGATATCGTCTATTTGTTTTTTATAATCTTATCGTTTGCTAACAACGCGGCATTTCCTAGTGCACTTTTACTAACCCCGATAACCTTAAAGCAGTAATAGAGCAGTGCCTGGATCACGTTGAAGCATACTTCAATTCCATCGAACGAACACAAAATGCTCCTTTTCATTAGTAATGACCTGCGAATTTCTTATAACTTTGAATGCATGCCCAATGAGGGAAAATAATAATAATAGACGTCTTTATTTATCCACAATTACATTGTAGTATAGCCAAATGTCAGACTTATATGGCGAAGTTTAGCATGCTGCTACTCTTACACTTAACCATATAGTCTCTAGCAGATGTTCAAAAGAATACACTATCTACAAACAGATTTGGTTCATTACATCGAAAGTAAAATTTAAAAAAAGAGAAAAAGGCATACTTTCCAAACCCAAATCCACTAAAAAATTATTAATCTGAATTAAAGATGAAATAAAAAAGAAATGAATGATTACGTAAATTATATGTTTGGAGGGTTGAGTAATAATGTTTTAACTTTTTGTCGAAAGACAGGTAATGAAAATTCTTTATATACTTTAGGAAGGTCATTATAAATAATAGCAACATTGTAAGAAAAACTGCGTTTAAAAAGTGTAGACGTATGCAGGGGTATTCTAATATTATTTTCTCTGAGAGTCCTACAGTGAACATCATTATTGAATGAACTTTTTTCCTTCAAGTAATAAGGTTTAGACGTGAGCAGCAATTTGTGAACAAAAACTGAATAGTGATACTTGACCATGTCATTAATTTTTAACCAGTTTAGAACGGGATATTTCGCTGATACATGATCAAATTTCCGTAAACCAAAAATGAATCGCATACAATTGTTTTGAATAACTTGAATAACGTTTTTAGTGAAATTGTCTAAACAAGTATAGTATACGATATTGCAATAATTTAGTATAGATATGACCAATGCTCCACATAGTTTTTTACGCAACTTAAAATTTAGTAAATACCTGTTTGATATAAGAGTGCGCAGCCATAGGTAGGTTTTCTGAGATAGACTTTTAACATGTTCAATAAACCTTAATTTTGTATCAAAAACAACACCAAGAATTTTTGCAGAATCAGAAAATTGCAAAATTTGGTTATTTATCTGAATGGCCAAGAGCTGTGTTACATTGTATGTTTTTCTTTGTGCGCAAAATAATAACATTTTAGATTTTTGTAGATTAATAAGTAGATTGTGATCTAAAGAGTATTTAATTAATTTATTAACATCGTTTTGTAAAATTTGAGTAGTATTATTAACATTGTCTGGGTTAAAATAATGGAGCAATTGCGTATCGTCTGCAAATGACTGGACATGAGAATTATCAATACTTCTGCTTAAGTCGAACGTATATATGAGGAATAGAAGCGGCCCCAATACCGAGCCCTGAGGTACGCCTGAGGGAATTATTGTCACTTGAGACATTTCTTGATTGAGAAAAACACACTGAGTTCTTTGATGAAGGTAACTGTCGAAAAATGAAAGGGATACACTGTCAAGACCTATGTAATTGAATTTAGCGAGTAATAATTTATGATTGATGCTGTCAAAGGCTTTCGAATAGTCTATAGAGATTAAGGCTAGTGCCATTTTCTTATCTAAGGCACTTAAAATATTGTCTTGCAGATTAAGTAGGGAAGATGTACTATATTTTTTTCTAAAACCGGATTGAGTGTCGGGAAGTATAAAGAATTTGTCTAGGTAAGCGGTCAATTGGAACTTTATAATTTTTTCTAAAATTTTGGATAAAATTGGTAATAAACTGATAGGTCTGAGATCAGATTTTTTTAGGAATTGGAATAATTAGAGCTTGCTTCCATGTGTTTGGAAAGTAGCCTTTTTCCAAACAGTCGTTATAGATGTGGCCGATGTGATGGAGAATAACTGGCAGGCATTGACAGTGATATACCATCAATTCCCTTTGCATCAGATTTTAGGCTCCCTATTGCCAGTAATACGTCATTTGAACTAATCTTATTCAATGAAAAAATATATTCAGAGCTTAATTTATTTTTGAAATAGTTTTCGCAAACTAGTGAATCAACAGGTTTATAGCTATAAACAGACATAAAATAATCATTAATTTTGGTAGGGTCATTAAAACTTGCCGGAAGGGTTGGTTTACTACGAAAATTTATATCAAGTTGTTTGAGAGACTTCCACAATTTTTTTGAATCATTTTCATTTGCCAAATTTCCGATATATGTCTTTTTGTCCCTCCTGATCATGTTAAGAGCACGGTTTCTAAGCGATTTGAAGTTATTATAGGCGTCCACGGTCTTATTAGTTTTATATAAAGCTTGTTCAGTATTCTTTTCATCAAGAACAGTGCGCAGTTCATTTGTTAACCAAGGTGATGGTTGCTTATTAACTCTTACAGTTTTAAAAGGTGCATGTTTATTATAGGTTTCCACGATAACGCTTGTAATGTGCATTACCTTCTCATCAAAATGACGCAAAGAGAAGAGGAACGAAACAGTTCCGGTGCACTGGGAAAACTTGGTCAATTAAGCAGAAAATTTTCATTACCCGTAATTATTCTAAGTAACGAAACTATAAGTAAAAATCACGAAAGATGACTATTACGTCATACCATAGATTGTACTGAAGTACAATGGACGTAAGTCGATCATAAAATCACGATGTCACAAATTTATATTATGATTTTGGGAAGCTATGAATTTCAGTCGGGAGGTTTTGTTTTGAAAAAAACAGTTATGTGTAGAATACCTTAAGGCAGGAACACCAGAAACCAAAGTATTATTCGAAAACAACCTAACCTGCTGTAACATAACCTAACTAATCATCTTCCAAATATGATCGACCATGCAACAATACAGCGTGTTTAGACAATAAAATTCTGTTTGTCTCTATCTAATATATCTGAAATCTCATTAAAAATATTCACAAATCGCTGTCGTTTGTCTTTACTACAGACTAAAATGATGACGTAATCGTGATTTCGACTATATTCGGTTTAAATACACTGCATTTTCTGAAACCACTTTAATTGAAAGTAATATACTAAAAAACTAAATTGCTTGAAAAAAGCAAACCTGTTTTAATCAGCTTAGGTAATTTATTAGTTTATGCAGAAACAACTAAAAAATTTAACGAACAGTTCAACTGTTTTTATCAAAAGGACTCATTTTCTACATAGATCTTCATTAAATATTTGGGCTGGCGGGGTAAATGGCAAGCTTATTGGACCCCACCTTTTTCCACCTCCACTAAACGGCACAATCTGCCACAATTATTAGAAGATTTTCCACTGTATGTGAGACAGAATATGTGGTTCCTACATGATGGGGCTCCACCAGATTTTACAGACGAGAAGCTCATGAGCATCTAAATCATTCATTCCGAATAGATGGATAGGGCGCAAAGGACCCATTTCTTCGCCTGCTTGCTCCCCGTATTTAACGCCTTGCGATTTTTTCTGTGGGCTATTGGATGGAGCAGTAAATAGGTACTCTGGAAGGACTTCAACCGCGCACTGAAAAAGCTTGTGATTTAATGGACAAGTTTACCATTTATTTGTTATTACCTCAAATGAAATTTTGAGGGAAATGAAACAAGATGGTGGAGAAATTACTAATTTATATCTAAAAACAAAAAAGTTACAGCCTATCAAAGTTGCGCCCCGCGAGAATATTTTTATTCCTTCTGAACGCCACGCGTTACGTCAATATTTTTATTCCTTCTGAACGCCACGCGTTACGTCACACTTCACTGTCATGTTGCGACTCCTGGGCCCGAGCCGATTCAGTGTCCCAAACACACGCATAGGTAGACATACAGCGGGAACACGTGGTAGGCTAAACGTCTTCCGCGCCATTTTTTTAATTAGTTTACTGCATATTCGATCGGTTATGAGCGAAATAACAAAAAGCGGTTGTTACCAATATTGTATCGTTGAAATATGTACGAGCATAACAATATTACAACCCCTAATAAACATTATGTTTACCTACCCTCACATGAAAATATCAAGAAGAAATGGTGCAAACTTATGAAACATGATTTGATTGAACAAAAAGGTACAACATATACTAAGTGACATATAAATCCGAACACCCAGTTTAAATGGTTCTATTTTAATAAACGTTGGTGAATGTATTTATCTTATTATAAATAACAAGTGAAAAAATGTTCAGCCTTACCAGTTGGACATTCCGGTTTTTATACTGCTTTTTTTTAATTCACTAACGCTCTAAAAATGAATATTTCAGCCGCAGTAAAGAATCAACGTTGGCGGATTTTGGTTCTTGACATCCTTTACGATCGGTTACGATGCCTAGAGTACGGAGACCTGTACGATTTCGTCAACTTAGTGAGTTTGATAGGGGCCGTATAGTGGGACTTCGGGAAGCTGGACTTTCTTTTCGGGCAATTGCAGTTAGAGTGCAAAGAAGTGTAGACACTATGGTTAGGTGTTGTCAGGCATGGCTTCTAGAAGACCGTACGCAAAGAGCAAGGGGCACTGGACGCCGCCGTAGAACAACAGACCGTGAAGATCGCCGCCTAAGATTATTGGCCTTAAGGGACCGTTTCTCCACTACCAGGTCCATTGCAAATGAATGGTTTGCAGAACACGGAAGACCTATTGGCATGCGAAGTGTTTACCGACGAATGAGAAGTTTTGGCTTGTTTTCATACCGGCCACACTGGGTCCTCCCTTTAACTCGAGAACACCGACGTAATCGCCTTGAGTGGTGCAGACAACGGTCACTCTGGGATCAGAAATGGAACAGTATTATCTTTAGTAACGAGTCTCGATTTTGTTTAGGCATGCACGATGGTCGTGCCAGGGTTAGAAGGCGACGTGGTGAAAGGAGGAATCCACAGTTTTTTGTTGAAAAACATGTTCATCACACTGTTGGAGTTATGGTTTGGGGTGTTATAGCTTATGGTTCCAGGTCACATTTAATCTTCATCAGAGGTAACATGAACGTGCAGCG